CCTCAGCTGTGCTAAGGATGTCTGGCTGCAGCTTAGTCCTGCTCCCCACTGGCAAGTGGACATCCCCTGAGGTCTGCGGGGCTACCAGAGGGATGTCTGACTGCCAGCTTAGGCCTGATAGCCCCAGGGAGAGGGCCTAAGGCAGCAGGTGGGCATCCCCCGAGGGCTCCAGACTGTGAGAGGGCACAGGCTGGGCTGAGGGACCCCCCCAAATGCACAATTTTTTATGCACCAGGCCTCTAATATATATATATTGGGGTACATATATGTTTACCAGAGCTATAGCTTTTTGTTATATAGATCCCGTTAGTATTATGAAGTGGCCTTCATTATCTGTTATGGCCTTCACTTTGAAGACTATTTTGTCAGTTATGAATATCGCTACCCCAGCTTTTTGTAAATTCTTATTTGCCTGGAATTTTTTTTTTCTAGCCCTTCACTTTCATTCGATGTGAGTTCTTTGTTCTGAGTTTGGTCTCTTGTGGACAACATATATATGGGTCATGTTTTCTTATCCATTCAGCTGCCCTATGTCTTTTTATTGGAGCATTTAAACCATTTAAGGTTATTATTGATAGGTACTTATTTATTGCCATTTTTATTCTTTATGCCTGTGTTCTTCTCTTTCTATTTCTTCTTCTTACAACAGACCCTTTAGCATATCTTGCATTGCTCTTTTGGTGGTAATAAATTATTTTAGTCTTTATTTGTCTGAAAAGTTATTTCACTTTCAATTTTGAATGATAGCCTTGCTGAATAGAGTAGTCTTGGTTTCAGTCCCTTGGTTTTCATTTCTTTATATACCTGATGCCATTCCCTTCTGGCCTGAAGTGTTTCTATTGAGAAGTCAGCTGACAGTTCAATGGGAGCTCCCTTATAGGTAACTTTCTATCTCTCTCTTGCAGCCTTTAAGATTCTTTATCTTCAATTTTTGCCTTTTTAATTATTATGTGCCTAGGAGTGGGTCATTTGGGGCTCATTTTGATTGGGACTCTGTGTTTTCTGAACTTGAGTGACCTTTTCCTTCACCAGATTAGGGAAATTTTCTTCCATCATTTCTTCAAACAGATTCTCTATTCCTTTCTGAGATGCTGCTCCTCTTGGTATCCCTATAATGTGAATGTTATTACATTTCATGTTGTCCCAAAGCTCCCTTAGACTGTCCTACTTTTTAATTTCTTTTCCCATTTGCTGCACTGAATTAGTGTTTTTTTCTACCTTGTCTTGTATTTCACTTATTAGGTTCTCAGTTTCTTTTAGTTTACTGTTGAATCATGCCAGGGTGTTCTTTATTTCAGCTGTCATTCCTCATTTCCAATGGATTCTTATTTTTTGTTTCAGCTCCCTTTTCATGATGGTGCAGCTCTCATTAAGTCCCTTATAATTTTCTTTAAGTTGCTTGTAGTTATTACTGAATTGTTTGAGCACCCTTATTACCATTTCTAAATTATTCTGATATATTGCTTGCCTCTAATTCATTTTGTTTCTTTTCTGGTGACTCATCCTTTTCTTTTAATTGGGGGTTGTTTCTTTGTCACCCCATTTTTGCTGTCCCTCTGTTTTTACTTCTATGTATTAAATCAAACTGCTGTGTCTCCCAGACATTGTAGGGTGGTCTTATGTTAGAGGTGTTTTGTGGGACCCAGTTGTGCACTCTCTTGTATGTCCTGAGCTCATTGCTCTAGGAAAGGCCCTTTCTGGAGTTATTTAAATTCTCCTATTAAAGTTGGGTCTTAAGTATTATTGTCCAGTTCATGGATGGAGTCCCCTCTCAGGCTGACTATGTGGCTCACCCCTGACCACATCATGTGAGCTGTTGTGGGTGTGCTGACTGAACATAACAAAATACAACACAGCAAAACACAAAACAAAAGAAACAAAACAAAAACATATACAGGACCCCTACAGCACCAAAAAAACAACCACCAGAGAAGAGAGAATTAGGAATGAGAACACAGAGCAACAATGATATAAAAAAGGGGGGGGGTATGATGAGAAATCAAAAGAAAACAACCAACCAAACAAACAAAAAAATCACAAACAAAAAGGGGCAGGGGAAGGACTATATAGATGCAGATATAAAATAAAGAAAATAAGAATAAAGAATTAAAGGAAATTTTGAAGGAAAATGGTTCAAAATAAAGGAAAAAGAAAGAAAAGAAACACGTTGCAAAGGAAAATACAGGAGAAAGCAAATAGACCCAAAATAAGAAAAGGAAAAAAGATGAAATAGCACGGGAAAAGGAAAAGAGATAAACATTAAAAGAAAAACAAAGATTGAGCGAAAAAGGAAGAGGAAAAGTAGATATATGACAGAAACAATAGAGATTAGAATAATACATCAATCAAGCAGATAGATAAAGAAGATAAATTTAAAAACAACAGAAATAGAAAACAAAAAGAAAAGAGAAAAAAGTGAAGTGTCATTCGTTTCAGCCAAGTTTAGTGCGCCATGGGAACTATCTTTGGATCCTGATATGTTTTGTCTGCTAATTCTGGGCTTTCTGTGAGGTACTTAGTTGCTAACCACTGTCAGGAACTGTCCTCCTTGGCTTTCAGCAACTTGTTTGAAGGTCCAAGTGAGCCACTGATCCACTATTTGTGTGTCTTCACAGAACTTGACCACAAGCAGGAGGGGCCAATCTGCCCTCTAAAGCAGCGGTCGCCAACCTTTCAGATCTCACGGACCACCAGTTTACCAGCATGGCGCCCAGGGCTTGGTCAGCAAAGTCCTTTTTGTTCCCCAGGCATTGCCTCTGTCCCCCTTTGCCTACTAGCCAGCCGTCAATCTTAATCACTCAGTAGTCTATTTCTGAAAGGGCTTTAGGCAGGGGATGTGCTGTTTAGCATTCAGAGAATGTAGGTGGTGTATTTCCCTGTCCCAGAGCTACTCCTCTGTGAGTGGCCCAAAATATTATTCTGTCCTAGGCTGGACAGAGATCCTTGTATGGAGACCAGTATGAGGTTGGTTGGAAACCTGGAGTTTTTATCTGCTCTCCTCTGTGGGGAAAGTACCAGTCTGCTTCCTAAGAGCATGGGGCAGGCAACCCCGCCCCCAATCCAGTTTGAGATTCCAAGACTGTTCAAACTTGTAGGCTTGGCCTCTGCTTTGGTTTCCTCTGAAAAGGTCAAAATGTAGGGTGTGGTATGCAGGGCTCCTGAGGGTGGGACTGGCTATCACCTATGATGTTTTGTTTTTTTTTCTTTTCCTGCCCCGTTGGCTACTGGGAGTGGCTAGCTCCTCTCCGGAAAAATGGCCATTTTGGTTTGGGGGGCCTATGACCAAATACTCCTAGCAGCTGTTTTTCCACATCTCCTAGCAATGCTTCCCACCCCAGCCTCTCCTTAGGTACCTCTAGTCCACACCTCCCTCCTTGCACAAAGCCTCGGGTAAGAAGCTGCAAATGAAATTCCTGTGCTCTAGGTTAAAGAAAACCCAAAACAAAACAACAACTGAAATGCAGCTTTCTCTCTGAATGGCTCTTGTCTACTGACTCCAGGCTCTGCCTAGGCCAGCAGCCCTGCAGCCTTTCATGGCTGGATGTTCCGTGGGCCACTGGTCTCGGCTCTGGTGCTCCAGGCTGTGGAGCCCAGTCTGGGTTCTGTGCCTCTATCTTCTGAGGAAACAGACCCTCCCTTATCCAAGAGCTCCCTCCTAACTCTTGGCCCTGCCACCCCTGGGAGTTGGGTCAGCTCCTCTCACAACCTCACCTATCTACCGGTCTCCAGATGTTTCCTGCCCTTCCTTAATACGTCTCCTCCTCAACTGGATCTCAGTTGGTAACTCCAGGTGAATGTTCTGCAATTTCATTGTATTTTCAGTCTGGCCCTGGAAGGAGGTACATGACAGGTCTGCTTATTGGGCCATCATTTTTTCTCCCCTTTGTCATTAATTCTTGATAGCTTCAAGAATCCAGTGCCTTGAAGAGGGCCTCTTTGCATTGAAGTAATAAGATATTCTGTTTCCTTCTTGGATTTGAGGATCTAATTCGTTTCATAGATTTGGGAAGTTCTCAACCACTACTTGTTTTAATAGATTCTCCATTCCATGTTCCCTCTCTTCCTCCTCAGCAATGCCTATAATTCTACTATTGCTTTTTCTGATGGAGTCAGATAGGTCTCATAGAGCTCTTTCATTTTCCTTTATGCTCAAGTGTCTCTCTTCGTCATTCTGTCATTTTTTAATTCCTATCTTCGATATTTCTAATTCTTTCCTCCATCTGGTTGATTCTGTATTCTGTGCTCAATAGTTCACTTTTAATCTTCTTAATTGCATGATTCATTTACAGGATTTCCAATTGGCTCTTTTTTAAAGTTTAAATCTCTTTGTTAAAGGACTCCTTTTGTTCATTGATTTGTTTTCTGAGTGCACTGAATTGCCTATCTGTATTTTCTCGAATTTTGATGAGTATTTTCAGGACTGCAATCTTGAAATCTCTGTCATTTATATCACATATTTCCATGTGTTCCAGCTTGCTTTCTCGGGATTTTTCATTTTCTTTTTGGTCATCCTCATTGCTGTTTTTCTCCATGGTATTTGCTGTCCTTCTTTGCTTACGCATTTATCTTTGATGAGGTCTTTCTATTATTTTCAAGTAGATGGCACCAAATCACGAGATGTTTTGTCTGCCGATTCCTCTCCATGGCTTCCATATGACAGTACGACCATGCTGCTTGGAAGTGGGGTTTGTTTTGCCCTCACCATAAAGGTGACTCCTGACTCCATGGGGTCCTGCCCCAAACACCCATCCTGGGGATCAGTCACAGAGAGAAACAGCAGTTCTACTGCAACAGCTTTTGGTTTATAGATAATATGCTCCTGGACCAACGGTAAAGGGAGAAGAGTTTGGGGAGTCCAAGTGGCGGTAGGGGTCTCTGGTTATGTTTCTTAGTTTGAAACATCACTGCCACCCCACAGTGGAGAGCTGCAAGGCAGAACCCCATGCTCTGTCAGGCATCTGCTGGCTCAGCCAGTGTTCACTACATCACCACTCCCTCTTCCTGGCTGCATGCCCCCTTTGGCCTCCACACCACCAGCACCACCACTCACCACCACCACCACCAACGCACCGCAGCTCTCTGTTCCTTCAGGCTGATGGAAGCGCCTGCTACTGCAGGCTTTATCCCTCTCCTGACTGGCTGAGCCATAAGCTCCCAGCTGCAGGGCTGTGTCTTCAGGCCATCTGTGCTTTCCTCTCTTCTCGTCTTCCCATTTATTTCTGGTTGCCCACATTTAGATGTTTCAGTGTGTGGGTCTCTCAGGTGTGCATCTATGTTGAGCAGAGATTTCTTTGTTGAATTATAGTTGGTTAACTTTTTGAAATTCCAGGGGTAGAGGAAAAGGTGCAGTTTCATGCCATTCCTCTGATATCCTAAGATGAAGTGATTTCTAAGCATTCTTTAATTCACGTTCCCATTTGCCTCTTTGGCTGTATTAGAAATTATATCAAGGTGTTTTCACCTATAATTTGTAGAACACTTGGTTTAAAAATGGCTTAAACAAAAGGATTTTGTTATTTAAATGAATAAGAAGTTTGGAGAGAAGTGATTCTAATTTCCAGTGGACCAAACATACTCAGGTGCCAGAGGCTTTCTAGCTTTCCTTTCTGCCATCTACAGCCCATTGCTTTCTCTTCACACTTGCCCCATGATTGAGAGGTGACAACCTGTGCTCCAGGTATTACATTTACACAACTGAATTCACAATTAGAAAAGTTATTTCTCTTTAGTGTCTATTATTTCAGGAGGAAAATATTAATGAGAAGGTACCCACCCTCCACTGCAGAATTTCCCAAATTTCTTATTGGCCAGAGTTGAATCACATCCCATTTCTAAAGCTATCTTTGGCAAGGAGAATGGAATTTCCATTACTTCCTTTGACTACACAACATTCACCCTTTGAGGTTGGAAAAGGGGCCACCATCCCTTAGCTTTGTGGGAGGAAGAATGCCCACAAAAAAAAAAAATAGCATCCGACAAGAAACAATGAGTGGGGAAAATAACCATTTGCAGGGTGACTTGTAGTGTCTTTCATTGGCATTTTTGAAAAATAAAGACCCAGATAAGCTGATGAATTGGGGCAGAATGCACCCTATCCCCTCTTTACAAAAAATATCTCATACTTACCTCATGTCTTCTTGTATTATATATTGCTAGTTAAGAAGTTCACTGGAAGAAATCATATGTTGAATAAATGGTGACAATTATACCCAATTATCCTGTGAGAATACCTACCAGTGGTATTATTTTAGTGTTGGAGAATTGAAATTGTGAGGCTGTGGTCATCTAGAAAGAATTCTTCTCAGCTCTTGAGAATCAGGGTTCCCTGTGATTAGAGAAGGAAATTAGATATCCCTTCATTAGTTCAACAGATATTTAAAGAGTCTTCCATGAACCCAGAGCTGGACTAGGCACTAGGGTTTGACTGGCATGCAAGAAATTAGCCCTGGTTTCCATAACTCATAGTTTATTTGGAGAGACAGACACCTGACCTGGTGATTTCAATACACAGAGGTTACAGCTATGATGAGACTAAACCCAGGAAGTCCTAGGGACAAAGATAAGGAGCCCAGATCTGGTCTTGAGGGTTTAGAGAAGACTCACAGAGAAAGTGACATAAAACCTGAGACCAGAGGTGAATTTTCCCTGAAGTTTATAAAGCTTAAGCCTCAGTCACCACAGTGAATACTGGGAGTTGTAGCATGTTCTCGGTGGAAAGAAGTCAAGATGCAATGTGGAATCTCATTTACTAAGCATTTCTACCACATTGTCCAAGGATATCACAGAAGGAACCTGGATCTCTAAGCCACTAGTAATTTTTGTGATTTCCTTTTCATTCTAAATATTCTCTCATTTCATATCTAATGTTGAATTTGTTTTAAAATCATTTTTTCAAAGCCTCTTCTCAGACCAAATTGTCTATGCTTCATGCCTCATAAAACTTGTATCTGTCTCTGCTTGAGAACTGAAGAATGAATAGGCACTTACATGTTGAAGGCACTAGAAAAAAATGTTCCTGGTAAAGGGACATGTGCAGAAGCCTGGAATTAGTAAAAACAACTTTTATCATTAGGTAACAGCCCTGTAGGCTAATGTTGCTGACCATGGGAATTAGATGAGATTGGAGAGGAGACCAGGAGGCACATTGTGAGAGGGAGAATGTCAGGGCCAGCCTGACAGGTTGAGCTGGGCTGAGGTAGGGAGGTGGGAATTGAGAAAAGAAAGAAAGATA